CCAGAGGTGCTAGGGCTTCGAAGAAGAGTCCAGCTGAAGCCACAGAGAGAGGTTTGGTGAGATGGGGGAGCCAGGACAGAGGCAGGCATAGGCCAAGGGCATGCCTGTGCAAGCGGACCAGCTGGGCTCCAGGAGGGGCAGTGGCTCTGGGTGGCTCCTGGGCTGCAAGGAAGGTGGACTCAGGTCTCAGGGGGTCTTAGGAACTAGGTGGGTGGCCGCCATGGCAGAAAGGGCAAAGAGGTCTGAAGAGGGGTGAGGGCCCTCCCACCCCTGTCCTAGGGACGAAGGGAGGAGGCAGCCGAGACTAGCCGAGCTGTGATCAGACAGTGCTGCCTGCCTGGTGACGCAGACAGGAGCGGGCACAGTCTCCAGGCACCATGAGCTTTCTGCTCACAGGGAACCAGCAATTTTCTACCCACTCCATTTCCAAAAAAGATGCACTTATTTTAAATGTCACTGGGCTGCTCCTCTGGTCTCTTTCCTGAGCAGCAGTTGGGTGGGCTTTGAGGCCCCCGGTGGGGAGGAGCAAGGAGGCTGGGTCTGGGGGTGCCCACAGAGGTGGCAGTGCATGGGTGGTTGCTCGTGGCCTGGCTCTGGAGAGCAGGCAAGGAAGCACGGCGAGGACCACCAGCCTGCCTGACTGAGTAGGCCTGATAAGGCCACGCTGAGAAACGCTGGAGCAGGGCTCCAAACCCCTGAGATGAATTCCACTTAATTACACGCACGCTGAAGTAGTTAGAGGAAAGTATACAGATGTTTGCAATTTACTTTAAAATGCATCAAAAAAATAAAATGCCCTGGGGGACGGAAGAGGGGTGGACAGACAAGCCACGAGACATCACAGTGAGACATCGTGGGGGAGTCTGGGTACTAGGTAAGTGGGGGTCATGTAAGATTCTTTCGACTTTGCTAGATGTTTGAAAAATGCTCATAATAAAACATCATGAAAAATCCAACAGGACTGAGTTTGAACGCTGGCTCCGCCATCACTACCCAGTACACAGGGGACCTGACAGGGCACCAGCATCTGGCCACGCTGCGCACTCCACCTGGTCACTCCTCATTACCTGGTGGGCACTGTCATGTGGACATGCAGCCCACCCTGCAAGCCAGTGTCCAGTGGTCAGACTGTCTAGTGGACTGGCCTCACTGTGTGTCTGGTCCCTCTTTGGCGCCCTCAAAGTCCCCAGATCTGGTCCATCAGAACCACAAACATGGAAAGCCCTGTACTCTATTGCAGGGTAAGGCAGTGAGAACAATGGTGTCGCAACAGGTAGCAGGACAGGTGTGGCACACCAGGTGTGTGCCCTAGGACCTGCCACCTGCATGCTCTAAAGACGGCCTTTGGGAAGGCACGGAGACTGGGGTGGCAGCCGGGAGAGACAGAGCCACGGCCCAGCCAGGCCCTGGAGTCTTAGCCCACAAGGCCCAGGCCTGCTATGAGGGGCCATCGGAGGTGTGTGGTGACAAAACAGCATAAGGCCCCTTTGCTAGTGCTTTACCACTCCATGGCCTGTGGTTCTAGGCCAGTGGAGTGCCTGGGGACCATGGGCTGCAGCCAGGGACAGAGACTGTGCCTGCCACCTGCCCCGACTCCTGCAGCTGCTCCAACAGCCGTGGAACTCCCTCTGCTGCGAGATCTGGAGTCCCATGGGGTGTGCCCAATATCCGTCTTTACTGAGCCTGTTGTGTCTCTAAGGCACAGAGCATGTGAGCTTGCCCTTGCTTGCTGGCTAACTGTGGGCCTATTTCCCCACCTCTGGTAGATCCTCCTGCAGCTTGGACAACCTCAGTTGGAAGGCTCCGAGCTCCCCTGCCAACCTGACCAGCTGGGTTGGAGGTTCCCCTACGCAGCAGACCCAGACTGCCACTTTCTACCCCCCAAAAAATGTGAGGAATGCACACATATGTGTGCAAACACCCCAGTACCCTCAGGGAGACCCGGAAAGGACAGTGTCACAGCAGGGACCACACAGTGAGCCTCCCACCGAGGCCAGTGAGACAGCTTCCCAGGCCTATCCCCCAGCCAGGCATGGCTTTCAAATATGTACATACACACCCCCCGCCCCACAGCCCTAAGTGGTAACTGGAGTTCTGTTTCCTCGCCAACCAGCTGTGAACTAATTACAAAAAGTTCTAACTAGTCGAGTCCCTCTCCAAGCATATGTTTCCAATTAAGTCAAACTACAGCTGATTTTAATCAATCTTCCTTGAAGCAGCTCAACTTGAAGACTCTCCCCTTGCAGAGGAAGAGTGAGCAGGGAGGCATCGAGAGGACATTTGCATAGGGACACCCCCGTAGTGCCGCCAGCACAGCCCAGTGACCAAATGCCCACAGGCCTCCTCAGAGCTGCCCAGTTGTGCAGCTCCGGCCTGTCTGGAGCTAGGCAGAGCACGGGGCTTCGGGAATGGTCCCCCAGGGGGGCTCTGAAGGTCCAGCATGCCCAGGACAGCCTCACAGTCTGCCAACACCTCCTGAGCAGGCACTGGGGTGGTGGGGGTGGGCTTTATCCTCGATGATGGAAAAGGTGGGAAGAGCTTTCAGACGGATGCAAACACTTGATCCCCAACAAGGCCCACAGGGGCATCTGCACCCGAGTTTCATCAAGGAGGTTCTGGGGGCTCAGATGGAAAAACCAACACGCCCTAGACTACACCTGGCAGAGGCAGAGACAGGATCCCACTGCGGGCAGCGGGCTCAGATGCCAGTGGGCTGGCTGGCAGCACTCTGATTCCATGTGCCTCAACCGCCTTCGGACCCATTTCAAACACCACCTGGGCTCTGGCTCCTCCATTCTGCCAGGACCAGTTGTGCTGTGTCCTGGCCTCTGTCCCTGCACACTGGGACCCTCCCACCTTCCTGCAACACTGACGCTCAGTTCCCTGTGTCAGTCACAGGCCTCCATTTACACACGGAGTGAATGGAGGACTGGGTGCAAGCTCTGGCACGGGGGTCAGACAGAAACAGTCCCTTATAACGGGGTGACCAGCACCACCTGGAACGCTCAGCTCAGACTTTGGGGTGCAAATCTCTGCTTCCCCAGACATAGTTGCCACTGGGATCACCCAGAACAACCCCAGTGTGGGGGAGGGCCCACTGCTGCCCCAGCTGGCCTAGGAGGTGGGCCCGTGGCCATGCACGAGGTGTGCTCAGAGCCCAGGTGTCACCTCATGAAGTGGTCTCACAGAGGCTTAGGAGGAGGAGGGGTGGGGAGCAAGTCAGGAGTAAAGGAGGAGAAACAGGCTCGAGAGATGACACACCTAGGTTCAAATCCCAGCTCTGCTCTCCGGCCAGGTGCCCTAGACCACATTACTGACCTCTGAGTGGAATTTTCCTGACCAGTTCATCAGGGCTGCACTGCCCATCTCGGGAGGAAGTAATGGGCCCCGGGCATGGCACAGAGCCAGCTCGTGGTCCCTCACCCCCAGAGATGGCTAATGAGAGAAACTGGGTTTAGGCCACCCCAGGCTCCCGCCATCATGCTGACCTTCCATCACGCTAACGAGGCCCATTTTCAGGCCAGAAAAGGCCCAAAGAGCCTTCTGGATTCAAGATGGACCTGCAGTGCTGGCAGGTGCAGGTGGCAGCTAGGGCCTTGGGACGTAGCAACCGGGGCCTGTTGCTGCTTGCAGGTCCCAGCGATCCTGCCTGAAGCATGCGAGAGCAAGTCATGCAGCCCTGTGGGTTTAGTGTCAAGGGGCATGCCGAGGCACCCTTACAAGGGCTGTGTGGCCTCCTCATCCCTGGGCTCAGCACGAGGCTGTCTGAAAGCCTCCACCCCCAGAGGCCCAACCTATAGCTGCTCCCCAACCTCACTACTCCAGGCTTGTTTCTCCCATGCCCAGTTAGCCTAGCCCAGAGTGGCGGTCGGTTCCATGAATCCCGGGCTAGACTCATCATCATATCACAGCATAAACATCTGCCCTGCCAGACCACAGGCCCAGCCCTACACTCTTGTGCTAGGCAAGCTGTGGGCACTTGCACTCCAGACAGCTAACCCAGCCCCTCAGCTCTGAGCAGCTCTAGGACACACCCCTGTGTGAGGGGCCCCACCCCACCAAGGGCCCCAAGAGTTCAGCAGAAGGGTCTCAGGAGCCATTGCTAATCACAGCCTCATGCTAATCCAGGTGAAGCACAGAGAGCCCTTGGCATTTCCTGCCAGATCTCCTGTCCCTGTAACTCCTACATAGGAGCACTCGATTTGAGAACATACTGTCTGCATAGGACGGTGGCTGCAGCCAGCCCCTCCCTGGCGTTTACCTGTACTCCAATCTCATTCGCTCCTCAACCACCTCTCCAAGAGCAAGCAAGGATGCCTTGTGAAGGACTAGAAGCAGGAAAGCTGCGATGCGGAGTTCCTGGGGGATACACCGCGCCCATCAGCAAGGTTTGGGAAGTTTGGATTCTGCACATCCTGACAGGGCACAGCTGCTGGCTGCCAGGACTTGCCTGACAGCAGCCCAGCAATCCCCACCCGAGGGCTGCAGCCCAAGGGAAATACCACAAGACAACAGGTTCCAGGCCGAGCACAGTCCAGCTACTGGCCGGACAGAGGTGACTTTTCCCATTGCCAGAAACTGTAGTGAAAAAGACTTGTTTTGTCTCTAATAGGTGCCAAGAAAAAATCAATGGCCTATCTAAAAGCTGGGTAATTTCAACCCTGTGGGTTTCTGCCACAGCACAATTTAGAATGGGACAAGAAAACTAAAGTGAAATTAAAAGAATGCAAACAGCAGTCCAACTTTACACTGGTAGGTAGATGGGGACAGTCTGGACACCACCCAGAACCACAGGGGGTTCCACCAGCCTCCCTGCCCAAGAGCCCGCTGCAGTCACATCAGACACCTGTGGGCGGCGCAGGGTGAAGAGAAGGCAGGTTACCAGAGCACGGTGGACTCTAGGCAGAGGAGGCAGGTGGCCCCACAGGCCTGTGGGAGGGAATGTCTCCCAAGCCACTGGGCTCTGAGACACACCCAACCAGGGCTGCCCCCGCACTCACCTGCAGGACACCCCTCTCCAGCTGCGCCTCCAGTGCCCTCTTCTCTTCTTCCAGACGCCTGCGGTCCCCCTCCAACTCCTCCACCTTTAACCTGCAAGAAAAGTGAGACCATGACAAGGCCTCGTGGCAGCCTCACATGTGCAAGCAGAAGGGATGGTGGTTACCAGGGCCGGAGGGAGGTTCAGTTGGGCAGGAGGAGTAAGTTCGAGGTGTCTGTTGTACATCACCATGACGGCAGTTAATAACAATGTATTCTATGGATTTTAAGTGTTCTCAACCACAAAAATCACCTGAAGTGATGAGTATGTTAATTTGTTTGATCAAGTCATTCCACCATGTATATGTATTTCCAAACATCACGTTGTATACCATAAACTTATACAATTTTTACTTGTCAATTAAACACTAAAATAATAAAAGCCTACATATACATTTTAAAACTATAGTACATCCATACAGTGGAACATTACCTAGGAATAAAAAAAAAGTGGACTGCACCCGGCAGAAGACCAGGCAGGAAGCAGGGGCTCGATACCACTCTAAACCAGCTAGACTCACACGGCATCCGCGACAGCGGACACACACTCTCCCCAGGTGCACACGGACTATTCTCCAGAACAGACCAGAGGTTAAGATACAAAACAAGTCTTAATAAGTTAAATTTATTAATTTAATGGAATTAATTCAGTGGAATGAAATTAAAAATCAATAACAGAAGGAAACTAGAAAACTTACATATATGTGGAAAGTAAACAACAGACTCTTAAATGATCAGTGGGTCAAAGAGGAAATCACAAGGGGATTATAAAATACCCAGAGAAACTTATACCTGTAAATGTCTACATTAAAAACAAAACATCCAAACAATAATCCACCTGTGAACCGTAAGAAACTAGAAAACAGCAAATTAAACTCAAAGCTACCAAAATGAAGGAAATAACAAAGATTAGAGCAGAGATAAATGAGAGAGAATCTTACAACAATACTGAAAAGAGCAACAAAATTGACAAATCTTTAGCTACCTAGAGCGACTAATAAAAAAGACTCAAATTATAAAATTCAGAAATGAAAGAGGATGTATTACTGATTTTGCAGAAATAACAATTATTATGAGAGAATACTATGAACAACTGTGCACAAAACTGGATAATCTAGATGAAATAAATTCCTATAAACACACAAACTACAAAAGCTGACTCAAGAAGAAATAGAAACTATAAACAGACCTACGACAAATAAGGCTGCATCATAATCAAAACCCCACCAGAGACAAGAGCCCAGTCAGCTGACCTAACTAGAGAATTCTAGCAAACATTTAAGGAAGAATTAGCACCTGTCTTTCCCAAACTCTTCCAAAGTTGACAAGGAAAGAACATGTCCTAATTCACTGTAGACCCCTGTCATATGCTGACTCTGAGGCCAAAGACACTACATGATAACCAAAGACCCTTACGAAGATAAATATGAAAATCCTCACCAAGGTACTAGCAAACTGAACCCAGCCCTTATTAGGATTATACATCACGATCAAGGGGTTTATGCCAGGAATGCAAGGCTGTTTCAACATATGAAATTAATCTATGTAATACACCAGCATTAACAGAATGCAGGAAAACAGCCCACACGATCGTCTCCACTGAAGCAAAAGAAGCATTTTACAAAATCCATCACGCTTTAATGATAAATACTCAACAAACTAGGAACAGAAAGGAACTTCCTAAACATGATGAAGGGCATCTTTCAGCATCATTAAGGCTGTTGAAGCAGAAATAATCTGATAAAGATTTACTAGAAGCCCAATGTGAGGACACACCAGGGAAGACAACAGAGCTGGCAGCCCCAAGGTCTGTCACAATTTGGAAGGTGATGGCAGAACCAGTCCAAGCCAGTTCCACTTGGTAACAAAACGTAACAAAATGACTGGTTGTTTTCAGTAGCAAAGGATCTGGGTTGCACATCACATACTCAGAGCACATCCAGATGAACAGAGCCCAGTTCATGGCCCCAGCTGGCTGGAATGGAAAAGTCAACCACAGGTGGAACCCAAGTAGCCAGATCCAGGAATGGGACCACATGAAGAAGACTTGAGAGCAATACAGACTTGAGAGCCAGGGACCACACTGCAGTGTTGCGTGACCCAGTCAGGCTGTGCCCTGTTGCGTTTTCCTGTCTCCCTCACTGGTGCTCTCTGCCTATGAAACCTGCCCCCAGGCCCCAGCTCCGGGAGGCAGATTTGAGTGTTGCCTTCTGCCTCCTTGCCAGCCAACTGACAAGCAAGTTTCCCCTTTCCTCAGAAGCCGATGCCCCAGGGTTGGCTTCTACGTGAGTCAGGCAGTGAGCCTACTGCTCGGTAACACGTGTCACAGTTGCCTTCTTTCACTGGAGGGTACAATACAGAAGTTGCAAACACTGGCTATAGGATAAAACATTCTACATGCAAGACAATCAGTAAAATTGCATGATTCAGAAATAAATCAGCAAAACTTCATGATTCAGCAACAAGTCAGTGTCCTTTTCAATATCAGTAAGTTACATATTAATCAGTACGTCAACAGTTTGAGGAACTCAGCATGAGATTCTTCACGAAAGGACAGGATGTAGGCCAGGAATCCCAAGACCTTCCCCAGGCAAGTTTATCTGGAAGCTGCCAAATGAGACCTGTAGGTTATTAAACCCATAGCTGATGCCAATCCCAATGGTAAAAAGACTGGAAGCTTTTCCCCTGAGATCAGTAACAAGACGAGAAGACTGGTGTTTGCTAGTTCTATTCAACACAGACAGAGCAATTGGGTGAGAAAAGAAAAAAAGATATCAAAATTGGAAAAGAAGAAGTAAAAATACCCCTACTTGCAGATGCCATGATAAAGAAAACCCTAAAAAATATGCAAAAAATGTGTTACAGTCAATAAACAAATTCAGCAAGATCACAAGATACAAAATCAGCATGCAAAATATCAGTTGCATTTCTATATACTAGCAATGAACAATCTGAAAAGGAAAACAAGAAAACAATTCCATTTACAATAGCATCAAAGAGAACAAAACACTTAGGAATAAATTTACTCAAGGAGCTGTAAGATTTGTACCCTAAAATATGCCAAACACTGCTAGAAGAAATTAAGGAAAATCTAAATAAACATACAGACATCCATGTTAAAGGGCAAAAAGATGTAATATTGTTTAGACATCAGAGGAGTCAAAATCTTGAAAAAGAACAACAAAGTTAGGAGATTCATATTTCCTGATCTCAAAATTTACTACAAAACTACAGCAATCAAAAAGGTATTGACTTTTTTCTATCTTTCTTTCTTTCTTTTTTTTTTTTTTTTTTTTTTGAGACAGAGTCTCGCTTTGTTGCCCAAGCTAGTGTGAGTGCCGTGGCGTCAGCCTCGCTCACAGCAACCTCAAACTCCTGGGCTCAAGGGATCCTCCTGCCTCAGCCTCCCAAGTAGCTGGGACTACAGGCATGCGCCACCATACCCAGCTAGTTTTTTTTTTTTTTCTATATATATTAGTTGGCCAATTAAGTTCTTTCTATTTATAGTAGAGACGGGGTCTCGCTCTTGCTCAGGCTGGTCTCGAACTCCTGACCTCGAGCAATCCGCCCGCCTCAGCCTCCCAGAGAGCTAGGATTACAGGCGTGAGCCACCGCGCCCGGCTCTTTCTTTTTTTTAGAAGAGACAGGGTCTCCCTCTATCACCCAGGCTTGAGTGCAGTAGCACAGTCATAGCACACTGCAGCCTCCAACTCCTCAAGCGATCCTCCCACCTCAGCCCCGAGTAGCTGGGACTACAGGCACACACCATTACACCTGGCTAATTTCCCTTTCCCCCTTCCTCTTTTCTTCTTTCCTCTTTCCTTTCCTCTTTCCTTTCCCCTTTCCTTTCCCCTTTCCTTTCCCCTTTCCTTTCCCCTTTCCTTTCCCCTTTCCTTTCCTTTCCTCCTTTCCCTTCCCCTCCCCTCCCCTTCCCTTCTTTTCTCTTCCCTGTCTTCTCTTCTCTTTTCTTTTCTTCTTTCTTTTTTTAAGAGATTGAGTCTTGCTATGTTTCCCAGACTGGTCTCAAGCTCCTGGCTTCAAGCAATCCTTCTGTCTTGGCCTCCAAGTAGCTTGGATTCCAGGCAGGAGCCACTGTGTCTGGCGAGGAACTGACTTTTACACACATAACTTGGATGAATCTCAAAGATGTTATGCTGAATGAAAGAAGCCAGTCTCAAAAGATCACATATTGTAGGATTTGATTTATAGAACATTTTTGGAATAAACAAAACCCTAGGGATGGAGACCTGTAGCTGCCAAGGATGAGTGTACATGGAGAGCAGTGGGCAGAGTTGGGGGTTGAGGGGATGAAACTACTTTGTACCCAGATTGTGGAGTGATTAAAATCCACAGAATTCATACCATGAAAAAAATATAATTTTACTATAGAATAATTTAAAGGTAAAAAATAACCAGTCTTCCAGGATATGTCCTATATCTCATTGTGGTGGGGATCACATGCTAAGTGTACACCGGCCAACACATGACCCTGGCATCTGGTGGAGGATGGCCATGGTCCATGTCTCATTACTGACATTCTTTAGAGCCGTAGGCATGTGGTGATAACCAAATGCAGACTTGGATTTCCTCTACTTGTTGTTTTGGAACTCAAAACATCACACACACTCTTGACCTGCTCCTGGATGGAGGCTGCTATCCCGACCTGGGCACTCCTCTTGCACTGAACTACAGGCTGACAGGGGGTGCGTTCTGGGGTTGCAAACTATACCTCTATCAAATGAATATCTTTAAAACCCTTTGGCCTGTTGCTAGAATCTAGTACAACCGTGCAGAGAATGCACATAGTGCAGTGTCTGGCCTGTGTCAGCTGTCTTTTATTACAATCATTACGGCTGCTACTGCTAGTACTACTATTACTACTGCTACCACCACCACCACTGCTACTATTACTACTACCACCACCACCACCACCGCTATTACCACTACTACCACCACCGCTACTACCACCACCATTACTACCACCACCACTACTGCTACTACCACCACCACCACTACTGTCACCACCACTGCTACTTCTACTACTACTACTACCA